TTCATGTGAGTCAAACTCCCAGGACTCTGCCCTGTTGGTGCCGGGTACACGGTGGACGTTACCATCACTGGTGGTGGGTTATTCAAGGAGTTGGTATGAGTCAGGCATGTGCACAGCCCCTGGCTTTGAGAACATGCTCAGAAGAAGAGGGTTAGCCAGCACCCCTATTAGCTGTGCTGGAGGGCTGTAACTGGGGCCAGGTGTCCCCTCGGCGCAAAGCCATATCCTGGAATGTAGCCCACACAGGTGGCATCGGAGGTGTGGCTCCCCTCAGGGCCTGCATTTAGTGGGGTGCACGCAGCTGCCCTGGGGACCTACGGTGTAGTACCTGGGGCCCTGCCAGCCAGATGGCGGCATGCTGTGGGTGCAGAAATTGAGCTGAAGGCAGTGTGTTTGCAGCGGCGGCGGCGTATGGAGGTGCTGAGTCTGCCAGGCTGGCCTCCTGGGATGGGAGCGGCCTCCTGGGTTGGGAGGGGACCCTGGGGGGTCTGGACGTCTGTGGGATGAGCCCGAGATGTGCAGCTGGGTGAGTGTGTCCTGGGCTGGGTGTGCAGAGAGGGGCATGTGGCCAAGCAGGTGCGTCTCTGTGTGACTATAGGAGAGAAGGCGGGGAAACGGGGGGGGGGGATCTAAATGATGGCGCTGATAACTAATGCCTCCACCCGACGTTCACTGAGCACCTACCCTGTGCCAGGGAACCAAACTGTGCACAAAACAGACGCGGTCCCTGCCCTCGGGGAGCTTACACTCAAGTATGTGGGCTTCTAAGAGGTCAGAGGGTAACAAATGCGATATAGACAAAGCAGAGAAGGTTCTGGTGTGGGGTAGGGGTGCTGTGAGATGCAAGGAGGCCTCACTGAAAAGACCTGAAGGGCAAAGACCTGAAGGAGGACAGGGACGCCTGAGGATGAGCGGTCCAGGCAGAGGGAAGAGCACGTGCAAAGGCCCTGAGGCAGGACCGTGCACGCCATTCCAGAAACAGTGCAGAGGCCAGTGTGGCCTGAGGGTGGGTGAGCGGGGCTAGGAGCAGCCCATCCTGGGGAGAGGGGTCTGCTAAACCTCGGTGAAGTCTCTGCGCTTACACCCCGTGAGACAGGGTGTCAGAGCTGTTTAGTGGAGGAGGGGCAGGATCTGACTTGGATGCTGTCAGGACCCCTCCAGCTGCCTGTGAGAACCGTCTGGGAGGGAGAGCGAGAGTCAAAGTGGGGAGACAACTGAGGAGGCAACTGTGATCATCTAGGGGAGATGGTGGCGGGGATGAGAAGTGGTCAGATCTGCATTTTTTTGTAAAGAGAGAGCCATTTACTGAGCCAGTCCCCGAGTGGCCCCGTGAGATAGATACTATTATTATCCCTGTTGCACAGCATTTTTCTGCAGCTCAGAAAAATGAAGTCACTGGCCTAAGGTCACACAGCAAACCAACAGCAGATCCGGGACTGAAACCCAGGCCCCCTGGCACTTGGTCAATGTGCTCTGTTATCGCTACTTGTCTTTGGGGGCCTGTGGATGTTGGGTTTGGAGGGTGGGGGTAGCGTTAGTCAGCATCTACACCAGTGTCCGCACACAGTAGGGACGCAGAAAATATTTGTTGGATGGATGGATGGATGGATTAAAACTGATGAACAGAATGAATGGGAGAGGCTGCCCTGCCCATTTTGCAGAAGTGTATCGGGAGGTGGATAGCAGGATACGGCCGAGGTCCAGGGGAGAGGGCTGCATCTGGGGATGGGTTTCTTTGTGGCGTGAACAGGGGTTGGCCCTCGGCTGAAGGACTGGGGTGACGGTGACATGGGCCCAGGTTCGCTGGTGTATCAGGGGTGGAGGTTAGAGTGCCTGGTTGTGCGGTGTGGTGGGGGGCTTTGGGGGGGTCCTGGGGGAGTGCCTGCCTGCAGAGGAGCCCGCACTAGGTTGTCTGCACTCGGGCTGGGGGGCAGGTGCACGAGGCGGGGTGGGTCAGCGTTGGCCCAGCCTGGTTATGCGGCCGATGAGGTTGTCTGTGCCAGGAGGCCAGGCCTGGCATAGCCCAGACACCCCCCCCCACCCCCTTCCCTGGGCAGCCCAGCCTTCAACCTTCCTCCCCGACTTCCCCGCCCTTCCCCGGCTGCCCAGAACCAATGGGTTAATTAGATAACAGAGCCTTTGATTAACGGGGGAGGGGGAGGCCTCCAGCGCTGAGAAGGGGGGCTGGAGGAGGAGGGAGGAGAGGCGCCCTCCCCGCTCAGGAGGCGAGAAAGGAGGGAGGGGTGGGGAGGGAGGGAGCTGAGGCACAGCTTGGCTCTGCACTGCCGTGTGACTAGAAATTGTAATCGCGGAGAGAGAGAGACAGACAGAGCCCGGCCGAGGGAGACGGAGACAGACAGACGGACAGACAGACAGAGAATCCGACCGAGACGGGCTCCCCGACCTACCTGCGAGAGGGTGATGGGGACGGAGACAGAGTGAGGAGGAGATGGAGAAGGAGTGGGGGGCCTGGTGGTCCCAAGGCTGGCGAGACAGTGAGGGGGGGCCTGAGGGGGGGCGGGGCGCAGAGGCAGAGGGGCAGGGAGAGAGCAGGGGGCTGAGGCCGGCGGAGGTGGGGGAGAGTGGAGGTAGAGGGTAAGAGACTGGAGGAGGCGAGCAGGGAGGGCGGGAGACAGTTGCTGCAGTGGCCTAGACGGGCCTGCGGGGGGCGGGGTGGGAAGGGCGACAGGCGAGGAGGGGGGGGGGCGCGGGGAGACCCCAAAAGCCCCTGCGCCCCCCCCAGCACAACCTCGACGGGAAGCCCTGGAGAACTGGGGAGGCAGAGCCCCCGGCGGCTGGAGGCATGTGGAGGGAGGGACCTGGGGCGCAGGGAGAGGCCCAGCGGAAGCCGAGCCACTGGGGTGAGTGTCGCTCTGTGTGGGGGGAGACAAGGATGGAGATGGCGGAGGGCGACGAGGGAGGGAAGGGAGGCCCAGGCTCTGCAGAAGCCGTCCTGGGGGAGGGGGGGCAGTGGTGCGGGCTGGCAGCAAGCGAGATGGGGACCGAGGCGGAGGTAGAGACACAGCGGCGGCGGGTCTGGACCTGCGGTGGGCGCTGCGGGCTCCCACCGCCCGAGCGGCATCCCGGTCTGGGGGTTCCCCGGCCTCGAAGGCTGGCCCCCTTGGGCTGCGCCGGCGCTTGGCTCCGAGGGTGTGGGCTGGCTTATCACCAGTGTCTTGAGGTGGGAACAGGACGGGGACAGAGCGTAGCGCTCCTTGTCACTCAGGGATATGCAAAGACCCCACCGCCCTCACAGACCGCATAGATGGAGGCGCTCACAGCCCCCAGCCCTCCAGGCAGAAAAATGAGTCTGGAGTGTAGACACAGGACCAACCCTCCCCCTATCCCACCCCCATCTCTCTCTCTCTGTCTCTGTGTCTCCGTCTAGCTGTTGCTCTTCCCCTCACACATGCGTTCAGACACACAGACATGCGCACATGTCTTTTTATCTGAGTTAAAATGATGTTGGAAACCGCGGGAGGGAGCGTGTGTGTGTGTGCGCGTGCGTGTGCGGGGCGGTGGGGAGGCCCGGCGGCCCTGTGTCCGCGGGTCTGGGAGTGCGAGGGCGCGCCCCTGTCACCGCTGTTGCTGTGCGTGTTTGTGCAGACGGCTCCTCTGTCCCCCTGTTCGCCCCACTCGTGGGGAACTCTTGGGTCGGCCGTGTTGGAGCAGAGCTCGCGGGCGTGGGCGCGTTTGTGTGCGCTCGAGGCGGAGACGCTGCGTGGAAGGGTTAGGGTTGGGGAGCCCGAGGGATAAAGCCAGGACCGCAAACCCCTTCTGTCGCTACCCAGCCAGCTCCGTGCTCCTCAGCGGCCTCATCTGTCAACTGGGCATCCTAACAGCTTCCTCCTGTGGCTCCCAGGAAGCTTAAACAAGCGTGTGCAGGTCTGGCGCAGAGAAGGGGCACACTCGCAATTCCGGAGCCATTATTATTGTTGTTTTCATTGTTACTGTCATGACTAGCCCATCCCCCTCTCCGTCTCTGGTCCTGTGGAAACGCGGGTGGGAGGACCTGACCCCCACGCTGCCCACTCCCCTCCCAGAGCTCAGGCTCAGGCTCTCCGGCCCCCCAGCCCCTTCTCCAGCACCATCCTGCGTGTAGCAGCCGCTGGCACGGACCCACCAGCTGCCATCGTGGCCTCGAGCACCTGCCACCCTCGACCTCCTCCTCCCCCGTTATCGTCTCCGGTGTCCTCCCTCCGCAGCTGCCTCACCTGCCCACACCCGGCCCCTCCCCCCTTGCCTTGTCTGGCACCTTCTCCTTCAAATCCGCCGTTTGAGTCGAACTCAGATCCCTCCAGCCGCTGCCACAGCTGCCACTGCTTCAAGGCGCATGGACCACGGGTGATGGCAGGGAGTCTGGCTTGCTGGGAAACTTGGCCTCTACAAACACTCCCTGAAGGGAGAAGTGATGGGGGGGGCGTCCAGGAGGCTGGTCCCCTCCCAGAAGTGCATGCAGGTGGAGAGGGGACTTGGGTGGCTGCTGGGACGGGAGCCAGATCCTCATTCCCAGCTTGGTTTTTCACCTCTTCTCTGTCACTTATGTCTTGTCTGTCTTGTCTCTCACTCCATCTCGACCTATTTATGTCCCTTTTTGAAATCATGCAAAGAACCAAGTTTTTATCTGGCCGACGTCTCCACTTGCCGGCCAAGCGCCCCTGGGTGAGCACTTCCTCTCCCCCAGACTCAGTTTTCTGTTCTGCGAAATGGGCATAAAGTCTTCCCAGCACAGAGAGGGTGAGATGAGTGTAGGGTGCACAGGGCTGGCCCTCCTCTCTGCCCCCCTCATCCTGCCCTGCTGGGCCCTCATCATCAGGGGTGGCCTCTCCCTCCACAGGGGGTCTGCAGGAGTCTTGCCCCCTTGGGTCCTGCGCCTGGGCAGGGAGGTGATGGTGGTGGCAGCAGAGGCAGAGAGCGGCCTGGATGTCGGGGAGGAGCTGGGCCACTCGGGGGGTCCCCGTCCCTCACTGAGCCTCTCCCTCTCTCTCCCTGACAGCCCCCCGGCGCCCAGGCGGAGCATGAACATTGAGGATGGCGCGCGCCCGCGGCTCCCCGTGCCCCCCACTGCCGCCCAGTAGGATGTCCTGGCCCCATGGGGCCCTGCTCTTCCTCTGGCTCTTCTCCCCACCCCTGGGGGCCGGCGGGGGCGGCGTGGCCGTGACATCTGCCGCCGCAGGGGGCTCCCCGCCGGCCACCTCCTGCCCCGCGGCCTGCTCCTGCAGCAACCAGGCCAGCCGGGTGATCTGCACAAGGAGGGAGCTGGCCGAGGTCCCGGCCAGCATCCCCGTCAACACGCGGTACCTGAACCTGCAGGAGAACGGCATCCAGGTGAGCTGGGCTGGCAGCCCGGGGGGTGGGGGAGGGGCCCGGGGGTGGCCAGTCCCACCTCCCTGAGCTGGCAGAGCCTCCTGGGCGTCCCCACCAGCTCTTCACGCCCGTACCCTGGGCACTTATGAGATGCTGTTTGCATCCTAGTCACTTGAGCCGAGGCTGTCTGGGTTTTCTCGGCGCAAGGCTCCCTGTGTCTGTACCAGCACACGGGGCCCCAGGGCAGGACCATCTGCCCTCCTCCCACAGCACGGCACAGGTGAGCCCTCAGCCTGGCCCCGGAGCCACAGGTTGTGCTGGGAGTGACCCTTCCCTGAGGCCCCTGTGCCACCTGCACCACCGCACCTGCCGCGTGGCGTTGGCCACACATGATGCATGACTCTGCCCCTCAGTTTCTTCATCTGCAAAATGGCGATGATATGATCCCTGCCCCAAGGGGCTGGTGCGAGGGCTGATGGTGTCACACTTGTCAAGGGTTTAGAATCGCTCTGGCCCCGGGCGAGCGCTCATATGCTGTGTGGTACGGGGATCACATCCCCACTTGCCGGAGTCGGTGTGAGAGCCCTGTGCTCCCCAGTACCTGGCTGGCACTCGGACGGGGCAGCTGCCATCCGATTATAATTGTCATTAAGATGGGCTGTGGGCTTCCCTGGTGGCGCCGTGGTTGGGAGTCCGCCTGCCGATGCAGGGGACACGGGTTCGTGCCCCGGTCTGGGAAGATCCCACATGCCGCGGAGCGCCTGGGCCTGTGAGCCATGGCCGCTGAGCCTGTGCGTCTGGAGCCTGTGCTCCGCAACGGGAGAGGCCACAGCAGTGAGAGGCCCGCGTACCGCAAAAAAAAAAAAAAAAAAAAGATGGGCCGTAAGTGATGCTTTGGGGGCAGAGCCGTGCTATTTTGAAGCAGGGTCTCCCCCGCTCTGCTTTATTGACGCTGGGGCTGGATCACCCTCAGTGGGGTAGGGGGCGGGCATCCTGTGCACTGTAGGACGTGGGGCAGCTTCCCCGGCCACTAGAGGCCAGTAGCATCCCGCCCCCCAGTTCCAAATGTGTCTCCAGATGTTGCCAGATATTCCCTGGAGAGGGAGGGAATTTCCCCACCCCCACCCCCGGTTGAGAAACACTGGTTTTTTTTTTTTTTGAGCCTGGGCCACCACAGTGCAAGCGCTAACCGCTGGACCACCAGGGAATTCCCCTGACCTCCATGTCTTTAAAGCTACAGCCAGCAACCGCTCCTCCTGCAGCCACCACCCCCTTCCCCCATCCAGTTCCGTCCCCCACGGCCCTCAGCATTTAACACAATGCCCGTTTACTTCTAGACAGAGGCCTGGAGTGTGAGATCAGGGAGGGCGCGTGTGGCTGTCAGTTTTACTCACTGATGTGTCCCGAGTGCCTAGACTACGGCCTCCCACGTGTAAGACAACCAAGAGATGCTGAACGGACCAAAGCGCTAAGGGGGAGGACGGAGATGCTGGGGCGCTTGGGGCCCGGAGAGGAAGATGGTGAGGGGAGGTTTGCCTGCGGGACCCCAGGACCCAAGAGAGGCGTATTCAGGCAGAGGGATCGTCTGAGCAGCCCCTCAGGGCTGGGAGGGGGACTGGTTATCACAGAAGAGGCTGGACTTCATTCCACAGAGTCCAGGGGGGCTCTGGAGGGCTTTAGGCAGAGGGCACCATCGGGCTTGTGTGGTAGCCCCTGGGAGGATGGGTTGAGTGTATGCCGTTAGGAGGTGGCGGAGCTGTGGCACCGGTGTCGCTTGGTCGCTGTCACATGTCAGCCAGTGCCCTGCCCTGGACTGGGGGGCGCGCACCTAGTGCAGTGCCGGCCACTGAGCAGCTGTTGGTGGGACTGAATTGTTCCATGAGCCCCCCCAAAGAGAAAACGGCCCAGTTCCTCCAAAGGGATGCTGCTGGTGGTGTGACCTCAGCGGCTCCTCCTCGCAGACGCGACCCTTGATGCTCTAACCTCCCCCCTTCCGGCTCCCATTTCCCGGTTATCCCAGCCTGGCGTGCCATCCTGTTTATTGGTGGACTGCCTCTTCCCTTCTAGAATGTAAGCCACTCAGGGGCAGGGAAGGGCTTTGCCCAGAGCTGGTCCTAGCAGCATCTGTGGACTGTCACATGAATACACAAAGGATGCCTGGAGCACCGGCAACAAGGGGGCAGGTGGATGGTGAGAATGAAGGGAGGGTGTCGCCCCCTGAAGGGAGGCATGGACAGAGCAGCTGAGACTGCAGCTTGATGTGTGCGAGGCTGACTCAAACCACACGAGCAGAAAAGGTAGCCTCTAGGTGGAGGCAGCTGGAGGTGGGCCTGGAGCCCAGGGACGCAGTCCTGCAGGGGCAGGGGTGTGGTGATGTGACGCAACTCCAGCTTCAGCGGTCCTTGCCCCACGGCCACCCAGGAAGGGACAGCCTTGCCCTTGGCATTGACCCCCTAAGAGGTCCCCTCTCTGCCCCCACAGAGGGGGGCTCTGGTCCCCAGGCTGTCCAGGACAGTCAGATGGGGGCCCTGATCCCTTCCTCTTCCCCAGGGTCAGACCAGGATGTGCAGTGGGGGAGGGGAAGTTTAGCTCGGAGCCCTCTTCTCTCCTGGTTCCATGGGCTGGGATAGGAGAGGCCTGCATGGGGACAGGGGATTGACCAAATGCCTTTAAAACAGTGGTTCTCTGGGAATTCCCTGGTGGTCCAGTGGTTAGGACCCGGTGCTCTCACTGCCAGGGGCCCGGTTTCAATCCCTGGTCGGGGAAGTAAGATCCCGCAAGCTTCTCGGATCCGCCAAAAAAAAACCCAAAAAAGACATGGATATCAGGGTGGCCTCATGGAGAAGGTGACATCTGACCAAATGTTTGGAGGGGGTGATGGTGGGAGCCTTGTGGGGCATTCCAGGCAGGGGGCAGCAGGTGCAAAGGCCCTGGGGTAGAGCCTGCCTGTGTAGGAGGAAAAGCCACGAGCCTGGCGTGGCTGGAGCGGAGTGAACTATGGGGAGAGGGCGGGGGGTGAGGACAGAGATGGGACAAAGGGGCCTCAGGGTCACGGTGAGGACTTGGGCTCTTCTCTGCATGAGACAGGAGCCAGAGGAGGCTTTGAACAGAGGACAGACGGGCTCTGACTTGGGTCTCTCTCTGGCCAAGGTGTGGGGACTGTAGGGGCAAGGGCGATGGCAGAGAGGCCTGTTCGGAGGCTGGTGCAGAGTTCATGAGAAAGAGAGACTGGCGGCCCCAGGTTGGCCCAGACTGGTTGCAGTGGAGGTGTGGGGAGCAGACAGATTCTGGGTCTGTTTTTTGGTGGTGCTTTTTGTTTGGTTGGTTGGTTGGTTGGTTGGTTTTTTGGCTGCGTTGGGTCTTTGTTGCTGTGCACGGGCTTTCTCCAGTTGCGACAAGGGGTAGCTACTCTTCACTGCGGTGAGCGGGCTTCTCTTGTGGAGCACGGGCTCTAAGCATGCGGGCTTCAGTAGTTGTGGCATGCAGGCTCAGTAGTTGTGGTGCACGGGCTTAGTTGCTCCACGGCATGTAGGATCTTCCCTGACCATGGCTCGAATCTGTTTCTCCTGCACTGGCAGGCGGATTCTTAACCACTGCAACACGAGGGAAGACCCTGGGTCTGTTTTGAAGGTGGAGACCGCAGGATTTTCCAGCAAAGTGGATATGGGAAAAGGAGAGAGGATGACTCTGTAGGTCTGAGTGGACCCCTTGGTTGGACCTGTCTGCTCGTGTGTCTCTCACCCCATCTCCCAGGCCACTGGTCTCCAAACGATGTGACCCACATCCCTGTCAGAATATACATATATGAATTTTATTACTAAAGTCATGCAAACGTCTACAGCATCCATGGGTCGTGTATATTATACAACTTGCACAAAAATGGCCACGTTGAAGGATGGGAAGCATGTCTTGAAATCCTAACGCTTTCGTTTCTCACCCCTGGGGATTCTTGCAGCCCCCTGCTCTGGAGACCTCCGACCCCACCCCACCCCCAGACTGCACATTCCCTGAGGCCAGGGAATGTCCAGTCTGCAAAAGTGAACGATTCAAAATGTTCAATGGAATCTTCCTCCCTCAGTGGACACCTCGCAGATGGCGGGAGGAGTGGGGCCGCCATTAGAGGGGTTTTACCAAATATTTTTTTTTTTTTTTTTTTGCGTTACGCGCGCCTCTCACTGCTGTGGCCTCTCCCGTTGCGGGGCACAGGCTCCGGACGCGCAGGCTCCGCGGCCATGGCTCACGGGCCCAGCCGCTCCGCGGCACGTGGGATCTTCCCAGACTGGGGCACGAACCCGTGTCCCCTGCATCAGCAGGCGGACTCTCAACCACCGCGCCACCATGGAAGCCCCCAAATAACTTTTTAATTATCCAGATAAGAAATGAAAAACCTCAACCCTGGCCCCACTGCCTAGATACACATAACTACTGTTTACATTTTGTTTTAAAGCCTTCCTGGCTCTTTTCTGTGCCTATGTAAATGTGGTTTTAACTGATTTATTATAGAATGAATACAAACTAATTTAGAAAAACTAGAAAAGATACCTAAGTAAGAACACAGGGACAAAAGCCAAGTGTAATCCGACAACCACAGGTAACTCCCATTAACATCTGGTGTCTTTTTATTCAGAAACTCTGCAGGCACACCTCTGTGTGCACGACAGGGTTGGGTCTCTAAATGGATATTTTGTTTTTTTTAAAAAAAAGAAAAAATGGAATCACCGCATTTCTTACTGGCTGGCAACTGGCTTTTGGCACCTAGGAGTTCAACCATGAATATCTTTCTCCCTGATTCTGATACTTGTCTATTACGTGGATTTTCATGACTGCATTGGATTCCGATGCGTGAGCGTCCAGTTAATTAACTAGTCCCATCTTATTTCCAGTGTTTTATTTTATTTTATAAATTTGTTTATTTATTTTTGGGTCTTCGTTGCTGCTCACAGGCTTTCTCTAGTTGCGGCGAGCGGGGGCTACTCTTCGTTGCGGTGCACGGGCTTCTCATTGCAGTGGCTTCTCTTGTT